AAAACAAGAAAAAAAATTACATGTCTTGGAAAAAGTACAGCCCTGGATGCTCCTTGGTTGCAGGGACAGTGAAATTTTATCTCCCATATTATTGTTAGAATTTTATTAAGAGGAGTTGAGTTCTTGAAAAATGACATGCTTGGAAAAGTAGTGGAGAAGAGAGGGAAAAGAGAGGAAGACCCTTAGAGATGGATTGACACAGTGTAAAACTGGCTCAAGTGTACAGAGATGATGAAGATAGTACACTGAAAAGAACCTAGCAACAACGAGTTAATTTTCACCTTAGATAAATAATTGACTACTAGGAAATTGAAAAATTACATGTACATTTTTACTGGACAACTCTTGCTTAAAAATTTTAGTCCCCTTTTTTTACCTTGTAAAATAAACTACTGTGCAGGACTTTATAGTAGTTCCATGCTGTGTTCAGACCTTTCCCTTCCCTTCCCTCCTCTTTATTGCTTTTGTTTGTGTTCTCTCACCTATTATTGCCCTGAGGCACTAGAAGAATGGTAATCAGGTACAGTTGAGTGATGACTTTGTAATAGTTTATGGTCTTGCTTATATATAGAATACCACTTCTATGTAATGATGTATTTCTAGCTCTTTTTTTCTGTTGTTTGCACACTAAGTTATTACTAAATTTTGTTTTTGACCTGAGAACATTGTTATGAACTGGAGTCATTGCCAACATTCTCTTCTGCAAAGCTGAGAGAGGTATGCTTCTTGTCAGACTTAATTACCAAGTTTGGTATTTTGTAACAGCTGTTGCGTGAGTCTGAAATAGTCTCCATATAAATACCATTTGATTAGAAAGATAGAAATGAAACAAGAAGCCTTTTATCCATAATAAATGAAACATAAGCAACTTTTATTTTTGGCACTGTGGTTAAAATTAAAAAAGTTTTGAAGTTTATTTAATGCATTTATTTCTTCACGGAGGATTGACCAGTCAGGAAAATGATCTGTCAGATTACTTTTAGCTTCGTTGTTCTGTTTTTTATAGGAGTTGCTCTACTTTTTCTCTTCCCACATATTTTATAATACAGTACTAGAAGGAAACCAGTAAACCAGGCATTATGTAAGAGAAAAGAAAACCCTTATTTTTAGCTTTTACTCATAAAATTATGGCTTTTATTGTAAAATTCCTGTTTATCCTTAAAAATTTTTACATATTGCATTTTATTTCAAGTACTGTCTGAGAAAGAAAAAGGATTAAACATTTTTTAACAATTACATAAACTTGAATCAAATGTTTTCTTCAATTTGTCATTTGTCCAAGGATAAAAACAGAACATAGAAAGGGAGAGAATGAGTGGGATGAATGGAAGCAACTACAGAGTAGTAGTGGGAGCAGTAATGATACAATAGAGGGGTTATAATCAGTGTCATTAAGTAGCATATGTAAGTGGTTGAATGGAATACCAATCAGGTATGTAAACTGTAGCTCAAATAGTAAAGAATAACGAATTACTGTGTTTGACTTATGTAAAGTAAAAAGAGCTAGGGCTTACTTTTACAAAATGGGTGACCTATTCTTGGAAATTGTACATTATTTTAAAATAAGAAAGGGCTTTCAATTTTCTTTTTTGGCATATTAAACAGTATTTGTTTAATTTGGAAAGATAACAGAAAACATTAACATTAAAAAGGAGAAATCTGCATTAACAATTTGTTTATAGTGCCTTTTTCCATTATTTAAAATAGTTTTAAAATTTGTTTATGCTTTTGATGCACTCTGACCTATTCTGTATGCTCCATAGAGCTAAAGATTTATTCCTCCATGTCTACGTGGTTCACAGCACACGACCTAGCACATAATACATGTTTAAGTAATTTGTTGGCTTTATCTAGAGTCTTAGTTCTTTTAAGTTTTTAATCCAGAGAGTTTATGCATTTTTTCTTATTCTCATATTTTTAAAGTATTAATAAATAAGTTCTCTGTTTATCTGAATTTGTTTTAAGCTACAAAGGATTTCTGGGATAATATTTTCAATTTTGCGAGGGGTAGGAAAGATTTGAGTTGGTAAAAGCAACAAAGGAAGTAAGGTCTTCAAAAAATTCAGCAGACATAAGACACTTAATAGTGAATGAAACTATGGCTTTGGAAATGTACCTTAATCTAGTTCAGTATTTAAAGCATCATACTGTGTGACTAGTAGGCAAATTAATTTTGTTTATAATTTAAAACATGTGACAATCTGATGAAATCTTGTTTCTCTATACTTGCCTCTCTGATTTTAAATAAGTTAGGGTTTTCAGGGTGTTTCTTAATACAATTACATAAGGAATTAATTTACCCAGGATAGTTTATTAATAGCTCCTAAGACAAGAGCTAAATTGCAACAGAAGCCAACTTTAGAGGAAATGTAGTTCCTAGAATAAATGTTTAAAATCTGAACCTTTGCTTTCAAAGTTTCTTTAGTTGGAGATGATTTGAAAAATCTACTTTGAAGTGGTAATACAGTTTCTTAAAGTTGATCTGGAAGAACTGATTAAATCGTTTGCTTCAGTGAGGCTGCAGATAAGAGTAAGCAGGGTCACCTAAAGATAGATTTACTTAGAGGTTTGGCTGCCTCTCTGGAACCATTTAGCTTTGAGCAGATTTCCATAAATGGAAAGAGCAACTGGAGAGACCTAGTACCTTGGTAAGAGTGTGGATGATGTGCAACAGGTGGCAAAACAGTCACTGGATTTTTATAAATCCTCTTAAATGACTGGTGTTTAAGGCCAAGGTGGTAGCATTTGAGCATTTTGAGACTTACGTGGGCTTCCCCAACCGTAATTAAAAGTTTCCTGAAAACAATTTTAACGAATTAACTTTTATTATGTAGAACTTGTGAATTTTGAATATGGTTTGTATAAATCTTCCCTTTTACCTCCTTTCGGGGGGACATCTTGCGATAAATCAAACTAGAAACTATTATATCTTTCTGTACTACACTCACTAGTCAGTATTTTAAGTCAAGTTGTAAGATTTTCCTTAAAGTTCTACTTTAATTGCCAATTTTCCTGAAGAGGCAGGAAATCCATTGTATAAAAGACATATCAACTATTAGAACATTTTTTGATTGCAGACTTTCCTGGACCTGAAGGAATTTTATAGACGTTAAAAGAGGAAATTGTCACTGTTTTTTTGCGTTTGCATCTATATATTAAACCCAACCCAACCCACTACCATGAGCCAGTTCTAACTCACAGTCTAACTTGTTGGTGTGGCATAGGACTTGAAACATAGCATACCATTCAGCAGGTTTCCAAGGCTGAAAATTTCATGGGAGGAGATTACACATTTTTCTCCAGCAGAGTGACTGGTGGATTCGAATCTCCAGAAAGGCATAGCCTTTAGGTTTTAGGTTAGCAGGCAAAACTCTTTCCACAAATGTAACTGATTTGATTCCTGTGCATACCATCAGGTGAGATCCATGTGTATGGCCTGTGTTTTTGGTTCTTATAAAAGGTATTTGCGATGAATAAATCACTGTATGTGCAGAACTCTTATCATTGTATCTCCAGCCTCATTTCTCTCACTGAGCCTGTGTTTTCCAGCTACTGATTTCTTCCCTGTTCCCAACTTTTGTGTTCCAGTCCCCCATTATTAATGCATCTTGATTGCATGTTTGATCAATTTCTGACTGCAGAAGTTGGTAGAAATCTTTTATTTCCTCCTCTTTGTCGCTAGTTGGTGAATATATTTAAATGATAGTGGTATTCACTGGACTTCTTGTATACATATGGACATTATCCTGTCGCTTACCACATTGTATTTCGGGATAGATCTAGAAATGACTTTTTTTTTTTTTGAAATGACTTTTTAAAATATGAAACCAACGCTATTTTTTCTCACCTTTTCATCCCCGGCATAGTAAATCATGATTATCTGATTCAAAATGTCCTATGCCAAGCCATCTCATTTCACCAATACCTAGTAGGTCAATATTTATGCGTTCCATTTCTTTCTTAACATTGTCCAATTTTCCTACATTCATGCTTCTCAAAACTCTAAGGATTGGGCCATTGGAATGCTTTTCACAAGTAATACGTAGTTGTTTTATTGTTAAAAAAGAAATTGATACCTAAACTCATGTTTAGCTATAACTTGAATTTTGGACCAGAAAGCCGTAATTATTGCTGTATGTAGATAGCAGTACTGTTTTCATAAGTAATTTAAATTAGAACATGAAGTGCTAGAAATGATAGAAAATCATGGAAGCTTTTTAAAATAAAAGCCCAGTAAAGTCTTGAAGGGGGGCGGGAAACACCAGCACGGTAACAACGTTTCCAAGTGCTCCAGGGCTAATGCAGTTATCGATCTCCAGGCAACCCTGACTGGAGAGTATTCACTCATCTAGGAATGTTTATGAGAGTTGAAGCAGATTAAATTATCTCAGAAATATGATGATTCTGATTTAGTCTGCAGGTCTGTAACCCTTACCTTTAGTGACTCATTGCTGTTCACTCACACATCACCAACTAGTTTTTAAGAGGCTGTAAATCACACAGTCCAGTTTTCTTCTGTGGAGCTTCAAGTGCATTTGAACCACCAGAGAGGCAACTCCACTTTTGAGTTAATGCAACTCCCTATAGACTACATATATCATCAGCACTTTCCTGCCTTTAGTGACAGTACGTTATTTATTTATCTGGATTGTTCCTAGGCTACCACAATCCTGCCCTGCAGACACCACTGCCATACTCCACACCTCCTCCCCGCATTTTGTCCTAAAATTGATACAGGATTCAAATATCAAGGTTTTAAAAGTTATTTTCCTGTGGCTATAATTCAGGAACATCTGAATAATTTCTAATCATTTGCATTGGTTTCTATATAATTAACATTAGTTTTTACAAAGTTAAACCATTTTTACTTTTATTTATGCAAATAATTGTATAGACTGAGTGTGGATTTATCTATTTCAGTGATATATTTTCCTTTGGCAGTGTGGTGTGAATGTTTTTAAAGTTCTTTTTCAATTGAGTAGAATTTCTTTTTCCCCTAGTGGAAGCATCAGTTCACGGCAGTAATGCACACTGTACAGATAAGACAATTGAAGCTGCTGAAGCCTTGCTTCATATGGAATCTCCAACCTGCTTGAGGGATTCAAGAAGTCCTGGTATGTGAACAGATCATTTTTATTTTAAATATGTAGTATAACAAGATTTTTTGTTTTTAATACAAGGGGAAAATGGAGGTTCTACAAGTCTATTACACATGAATATGTGGAGGTAAAAATGGATTTTTTTTTTGGTCAAAGTCCCCAAATCCTAAATGCTTTAGGTACTTAATTTTCATAATAAATACAGAAAATACCATTATTAGACAAATATTTATTAAATTGCTATTTATAATATGCCTATTTCCTTAAACTTAAATAAATTATATAAATATTTATAATCCCCAAATGTATGGACGATTGGGGCAGTTGCCTCCACTGATCGCTATCGGTTAATTTGCTCTTTGGAGACAAGGATGGTGAAACTTCATCTCTTGCACTTGGAGCTTGTTAGGAGAAGCTCTTCCTTGGAGACAGACATCATAATTGGAAAGGTGGAGGGTCAGTGAGAGAGAGGAAGACCCTCAAAGAGAGAAATTGATACAGTGGTTGTAACAGTGGTATCAAGTGTGTGAGAGATGGTGAGGATGGCATGAGATAGGGTGGGATTCAGAGCCACTAATTATTCATGGAAGAGAAGTAAGGTAGCTGCCACCAAAATTTACAGTAAGTTTTTTCTTTTCAGTTGATCTGCTTTTCCTTTATGACTGACAGTTTTTGTGTCCAAATTTTAAACTTGTACCAATTTTAAATATAAGGAGCTCTGGTGACTTAGTGGTAAGGAGTTGCAATACCAACCCAAAGGCACAAGGTTTGAATCTACCAGCTGCTCTATGGGAGAAAAATGGGCAGTCTCATTCTCTTGCGATTAACTGCTTTTGAATATTCACTGCAGGGTCAGTTATGAGTCAGATATGACTCAATTTTATATAACAATAATTTCTTTTTAAAAATTAAATATTTTGGTACTTTGCTTGCTTTCATTTTCCTTCACTCACGTTGTGTTTCATACAATCATCCCCATTTACTACATTTTATAAAATAAATCAGCACTGAACTATACCCCTCATTTCCCAGTCTTTCCAGATCTTCCCATTTCCTTTACCTACCCCTCCCCATAACAATTTTAAATGTTTGTTTGACCTGTTAAAATAAGATTGGCCCTCTTTTCATAGTTTACAACAAAAGCAACCATATTTTTTACTTGGTATAGGGAATTAATGTATTATGTAAGAAGAATAGTATTTATTACCTTCATCTGAAGGCATATGGGAAAGAAGCTAGAACAGTGTCATTATATGTGATAGAGGACCATTAACTACCACTGAGTCAGAGCCCCTCTGACTCTTGGCAACTCTTCACACAGTGGAACGAAATGCTGCCTGATCCCTGTCATCAGTTGGGAGACAGGACCATAGGATTTGTGATCTTGTGTGATCCACATAGGATTTTTATTGGACAGTTTTCAAAACTAGATTGCTAGACCTTTGGTTTTTGCTCATTTTAGCTTGGGAACCCCCTGGACACTTGTTTAACCTCATAAGTGTTGGCTCTATATGGAATACATTACTGCCAGTGAAATACATATATTACCATTTGTAGAATATCAAATAGCAATCTGTATGTATTGTTTTAATGACCTAAAACTTTGTTAAATAAAATTTTAAAATAATATTAAAAGATGATAATCTTTAATAACAAGGCTTTTCTTTATATTGTAAAATATATTTTTAAATGCTTTTTTATTGAAAACCATTTATAAGTTTAATTTTGTGCTATGTGCATGCATTACCTAGTTAAAGAGAATGATGGATATGTAGGAAGAAAGTAATTGTTTAAGAGCTCTTACTCTTCCAAATAACTTGCCGCTCATCAAAATATAAACAAGAAAAATTGGCATGGTGCATTATTTGTGATTTCAACCTAACCACAGGATTAATAATTTCTTCAGGCTGATTTTGTTTATTTCCTTGTATGCTTTAGAGCATCTTCAACAAATTTACTTTTTTTTTCTATATTAAAGCACTTATACTTATTTTTGTAATTCTTAATAAACCTCACCACTTGAACTGTCCACATAAGAAACATTAATAGGGGTGGAAATTTTATTTTTTCAACTTTTTTTTATAGTGGAAGTGTTTGTCCCTCCTTGTGTATCAACTCCAGAATTTATCCATGCTGCTATGAGGCCAGATGTCATTACAGAAACTGTAGTGGAGGTGTCAACTGAAGAGTCTGAACCAATGGATACCTCTCCTATTCCTACATCACCAGATAGCCATGAACCAATGAAAAAGAAAAAAGGTAAGAGTTTTACAATTTCTTAGTGAATTTCTTTTCCCTGGTCCTCATCAGGAAATATAGAATAGACATAATGAGGTTAATGTCATTTTAACTAGATATTCTTAAAGAATCAATAATTTGAGGTTTTAGTTTTAACATGTTTTATACTATTGGAAGAGTTTAGTATTTGAGGCTATTAGAGGAGTTCCCCAAAAAGATTTTAAAAGATACTGACATCTAGGCTATTTAGAGTGCCCATACTAAGAAGGGTCTGAGGATGGCTTAGTTCACTGTTTCACTGCATATCTGACTTGTTTATTCTTTCTTACACTTTTTGATCCTTTTGAAAAAAACAATTTTTTTTCTATTTATAGTTATAAACCTTTACCCTCTTGTGGAGATTTGGGAAAGGGGGAAAAAAAATTCCATGTCATTTTCTTCCCATACCTTCAGTTTTGAAACATCAGGATTATTAAGTTGAATACATTTTTGTCTGCGTAGGAGTGAGAGTTAATTTAAATCATTTTGCAACTTACCAGTGGGAAAAGTAAGATTTACACTTGATACATTCCAGCTGAAACTTCTGCTGTTCCTCTGATCCCAATGGGTAACACAAGACACATCTCTAATGTAGCAGGAGATGAGCAGTGAGTCTATATCCTTTTCAAATCAAAGAAGTTAAATTCTCCCTAATTGAGCACTCATCTGATACCACTTGCCATTTGCAGTGGAGGGAAAAAAAAGTAAAAATCAAAGGCCAAAATAAGAAAATGTTTGTGAGAAAGAATAGTTTCTTTTATTCATGAGATAAAAGTATTTTGAGTTGCTGCAACAGGTTGCCATTCTGTGGACACACCTGTAGGGGATACAATGAAAATGAAGACAGTTATTTCCTTATTATATATATAATATATAAAATAATCACAAGAGAGGCATGGGTGAGAGAATTTAGAAAGAATGAAGAATTCTAGAAATGTTTCATCCCTCATACTCACAGCGATCTGCGAACAAAAGATCTGAACCCTGTCCTTTCAACACACTTCAGCCTATTTCCACAGATGGTGTATAGCTGTTTCTCATTTTTCAGTATCACCCACTCTAAGGGCTCTACCTCTAGTACTGTGTCTATCAGTGTGTGTTCCTCTGAATTGTTTATAGGGTTTTCAAAGGCTACTTAAGAATTGGATGGCCAGTCCTCTTCCTCAGTTTGTCTTAATCTGGAAGCTTTACTGAGACTTATCCACCATGGTTGACTTGTTAGTATTAAAATACTGGTTGCACAACCTCCAGCATGACAAGAGGCTCCAGGCTACATTGGACAGACAAGTAATGTACTCATAAGAGCAAACTATAAGCAAGCAAGCAAGGATATTTATACAATGAGTCCTACGGGACAGCAACTTAACAACATAAATATTTAGGGAGGTAATGCATACCTACAGATAGCCTTATTCATCTACCACTAATAGTAGCCCTTGACTGGTTGTATCCAGTCGTAGCTGTTAGAAAGATTTTCACATTTAAAGTAAAATGAATTTTTTTTCTTTTTTTTGTGTGTAGTAGGCTTCACTATTAAAAGAAAACAAAGAAGATGGAAAAATCAAGAAAAAAGAAGGGAACCTGATCTCTTGATTAAGGAACATATGATAAAAGCCAGGAAAATAGTTTGCCAGTATAATAGTAATTTCTTACTTAAAATGAAAAAGTGATTGTAGCTAAATGCATTTGAAACATAAAGTTATGAAAGTTATTTTTGAAAAGAAGAACCACTTCTCAGAGCTTTTGATATACATTGTGAATCTTTGAAAGGATAGTATGTCATGTTTTTAAAGTTCATTGACTCATAGGACCTTTTTCCTGCTTAGGAGTAATCTGTTAACATCTTGAACAAAATTTGAAAAATGCCCTTTTAGACTAATAATTACATTAAGGAATTTTTTTGTGTGCTAGATTTAGGAGCTGGTGAAGATGTTAATCTTTAATAACTGATACACACTAATATTTAAATTGAGACAAGAAGAAGTCTATTTTCTATTCTAACAAGGAGATCAGTGAACTTTCTGTCTTGATTTTTGCTAAACCACGCTTCTTATATATTAAGGTTACCAGAATGAAATTCTAGAAGACAATAAATAGCTATGCTATTTGAAATAGAAATTGACACTATAATTTGATGCTCTTTATTCTTGCTAGTCCTTGCTAATAAAATCCCAGATGTAAGACCACCTCCATTATCTGTAGGCATAATGTACTTGCACATTCTCATCATCTTTTGTGAGACTTCCACTCACCTGTTAGATTCATTCATTAGTACTAAGGATCAAATAACAAATAATTTCAGAACTGAAGGATTGGCCACCCACTTCTGAAATAGCAGGCCTCTGAAAACCCTATGCACAACAGAACACACGCAGATTAACAGAAAGGGAAACCTAGGTAACTATCAAGTATGGAAATACAAAGGAGGAGGAAGAGTTGTAAGCAGACCCTAGTGATTGGAACATGGAATGTGAGAGCCATGAATGAAGGAAAATTAGAAATTGTTAAGAAAGAAATGGAACGCATAAATATTGACATATTAGGCATTGG